TTCTTTAAGGTGAAGTGTTAGGTTGTTTACTTCCCATCTTTCGATTCTTCTGAGGTAAGCATTTAGTGCAATAAATTTCCCCCTTAGTACTTCTTTTGCAGTATCCCACAGGTTTTGGTATGATGTGTCATTATTTTCATTAGTTTCAATAAATGTTTTGATTTCCTGCTTAATTTCTTCTTGGACCCATATGTCATTAAGTAGAATGTTGTTTAATTTCCATGTATTTGTATAGTTTCCAGAGTTTTGTTTGTTATTGATTTCTAGTTTTAATCAATTGTGGTCAGAAAAAATACATGGAATAATTCCAATTTTTTTTGTATTGGTTGAGATTTTATTTCTGACCTAACATGTGGTCTATCCTGGAGAATGTTTCACGTGCTGATGAGAAGAATGTATATTCTGCGGTTGTTGGATGAAATATTCTGTAGATATCTGCCAAGTCCAATTGGTCTAAAGTATGATTTAAATCGTGTGTTTCTCTGTTCATTTGTTGCCTAGACAATTTGTCTAATGTTGACAAAGGGGTGTTCAGGTCCCCAACTATTATCATATTTGGGTCTATCTTTTTCATTAAGTCTAATAATATTTGCTTTATATATCTGGTTGCTTTGATGTTGGGTGCATATACATTTATGATTGTTATGACATTGTTATGTCTTCTTGCTGGATAAATCCCTTTATGATTATATAGTGTCCTTCTTTGTCTCTTTTTATAGTTTTTGATTTAAAGTCTATTTTATCTGATATAAGAATAGCTAACTCCTGCTCCTTTTTTAGTTCCATATGCAGGGTATGTCTTTTCCCATCCCTTCACTCTTAGTCTGTGTGTTTTTACAGGTGAGGTAAGTCTCTTGTAGACAGCATAGAGTTGGGTCTAGCTTTTTAATTCAATCAGCCAGTATGTGTCTTTTGAGTGAGGGATTTAATCCATTTACATTTAGGGTTCTTACTGAAAGGCATTGTCTTACTTTTGGCATTTTATCAATTTTCATTTGGATGTTTTAAATATCTTCTGTTTCTTTCCCTTTTATTCTTTGTCTTTGGTGTTTGTTGGGTTTTGGAGGTGGTAAGATACAGTTTCTTTCTCTTTCTCATTTGCATTGCACCCACTCAGTGGGTTTTGTTCTTTCTTGCATATTCATTGTAGTGATTATCACTTTTGGATTACAGATGCAGGACTCCCTTGAGGATTTCTTGTAGGGCTGGTTGTGTGGTGGTGAACCTTCGGAGTTTTTGTGTGTCTGGGAACTACACTATTCCTCCCTCATTTCTGAAGGATAGCCTTGCTAGGTATCGTATTCTTGGCTGGCAGTTTTTTTTCTTTTAGTATTTTGAATATATTGTCCCGTTCTCTTCTGGTTTGTCATGTTCCTGTTGAGAAGTTTCCTGTTAGTCTGATGGGGGCTACCTTATAGTTGACTTGACATTTTTCTCTTGCTGCTTTTAGGATTTGTTCTTTGTCTTTGAGCTTTGCCAGTTTGACTGTAATGTGCCTCAGAGAGAATCTTTTTGGATTGAATCTGTTTGGGGATCTTCGAGCCTCCTGGATCTGAAGGCCTGTGTCTCCCCCTATATCTGGGAAGTTTTCTGCTATTATTTCATTAAATATTTTCTCAATGACTTTTCCTTCTTCCTTCCCTTCAGGAATACCCATTATTTGGATGTTTGTGCACTTAAGGTTGTTTGCTATCTCACTTAGATTTTCTTCATTTTTAAATTTTTTTTCTTTTTTGTCTGCCTGAGTTATTTTGAAGACTGTCTTCAAGATCAGAAATTTTTTCTTCTGTTTGCTCTAACCTGCTGCTTAAGCTCTCAATTGTGTTTTTTATTTCATTGAATGACTCTTTCAGTTCCATGAGTTCTGCTATTTTCTTTTTTAAAGTATTAATCTGTAAATTTCCTCCTTCATATCCTGGATAGTTTTGCTTAGTTCATTGTATCATCTAACTGCATCTTCTTGTATTTCAATGAGTTTCCTTAAGATTTTTACTCAGAATTCTTTTTCAGTCATTTCAAGTATTTCCTCTTCTATGGATTCTGGTACTTGAGAATTATTGTATTCCTTTGGTGGACTCATATTTTCTTGTTTGTTCATATCTCTAGTATCTTTACATTGATGTCTGGTCATCTGGTAGAGCAGTTGCTTCTTCTATTACTCTCCTTCCCTGGACTCTACTAGTGACCCTCCTTGCGTCAGTGAAGTTGAGGGGTTAGTGGTCCACCTGCAGTCTCAATGGCTGCTGTGGCTGCTGTTGCAGTTACCGGCCACCCTTGCAGCAGCAGTGGTTGTGGAGGTGGCTTTGGTGGGCTGCCCATGTGGCAACAGAGGCTCTAGCAGTAGCAGGCTGCTCACCCAACAATGGTGGCTGCCTGGTGAAGCCAGTGGTCATGACTGCAGCAGTGGTGGTTGCAGTAGCCAACTGCTTGTCTGTGGTGTATGTGGTATTGGCCCATACAGCTACAGTGTTTGCAGTGGCATCAGAGTTACTTCGTGGCAGTGGCAGTGGCAGCTGCAACTCTCTCCCTGGTGTCTATGGGGTCCTTAGCAGCAGCAGGATTACTTTGTGTGGGTGGCAGTGGCACCAGTGGCTGCAACTGCCTTCCTGGCATCTGTGGTGTCCTTGGCAGTGTCCTTGGTGGTAGCAGGGTTACCTTGTGGGGGTCAGCAGGAGTGCTGGGAGCTGCAACTGCCTCCTTCACATCTGCAGTGTCCAAAGTGGTGTCCACGGCAGTGTCCTTGTCAGCAGCAAGGTTATCTTATGCCAGTGGCAGTAGTGCTGGCAGCTGTAGCCATCTCCCTCATGTCTGCAGTGTCCTTGGCAGGAGCAGGGTTACCTTGTGGGGGCAGCAGTGGCATCAGCGGCTTCAACTGCCTCCCTCATGTCTGCCGTGTCCTTGGCAGCAGTGGGGTTATCTTGTAGCAGTGGCAGTAGTGATGGCAGCTGCAGCCATGTCCCTTGCATCTGTAGTGTCCTTGGTGGCATCAGGGTTACCTCACAGTGAAGACAATGGCAATAGTGGTTGCAGCTATCTCCCTCATGCCTGCAAAGTCTGTGGCTCAGCGATGGGCAACCTGCAGGAGTGCTGCTCTGTGGGGAACTGCTCTGTGATAGGCAATGGCTCTGGGACTGGACAATGGCTGTAGCATCTATGGCAGTGGGCCCATTTCAATCTTCTTCTGCAAGAGGAACACACCCTGGGCACCTCTAGTCCATCATCTTCTGGAAGTCTCATCTTCTAACACCTTGTTATTTTATCTGTCCCCTGTCACCTCTCTGACCTCATCTGCCACTCTTCCCTGATTCACTCTACACCAGCCATGCTTTTCTCTTCACTGGTCCTCAGACACCCCAGACAGTTTCCCTTCTCAAGGTTCTAGCACTTATACTTCTTCCTGCTCAAAAAAAAACTCTCCTTGCAGATATCTACATTGATCACTCTCTCACTTCATCAAGTCCCATCTCAAATGTCACCTCCCTGGACAAGCCATCCCTGACTACTCTATCTAAAATAACATCCCCTTCAATCTTCTCCCCCTTTCTCTGATTTACTTTTTTTCATAACACATTTTTTTTATATTTATTTGTTATGGTCTATCTTCCTCCATTAAAATATAAGTTCCACGAGAGCAGAGACTGTTTTAATCTTGTCCACCACTGTATTCTCAGAACATAAAGTAATGACAGGCACAGAGAAGGCACTAAATACATATTTGTTGAATGAATGAATTAATGTGTCTTAACTACCATTGTGTCAACATATTACCTTTTGTAAAAAAAAAAAAATGTTGAAAAGGGTACTACTTTTGGATAATGTGTTTGGGGAAAGTAACTACTTCCAACCATTCTACTGAGGAGACACAGCAGACTCTCCTTATAGCTGTAAGTCCTGGCAAGCCCTGAAAATTTGGTGCATAACTGGCTAGCTGGCTTTGGATACCTTTAAGTTCTACTGGCCAGTGAGTGGAAATTGCCCCATTGAAGTAGCCTGACTTAGGTATTTTTAGGCAAAACAGCCATGAAATCTACTCAAGCAGATTTCTTTCAGGCTCCCTTTCACCCAGGTTAAACAAATGGGACATCTCAACACACCCAACCCCATTCAGGAGTTAGCCACATGCCTTTTGCCCTGTGCATATATTTTTGCTGGGGCATCTCTCAAAAGAGTTTGGACACTCACTATTTGTCTAGTGGCTCCCGTGGGACCATTGCTCACTGCTTGTTTCCCTGCCAACAGGCCCTAAGATTTAGCATGAGTTGGCAGGCTTTGGCTATCTAGACTGTTATAACCCCACTTCTCTGTGGGGTAACTTCAGTGTTGGGGATTATTCAAAGCTCCTCTCTTGCTCAGACAATTTCCCTATAGTCTTGTTTCTCCTGAAAGTTGGTGTGATAACACAAATTGCTCTGACAGAGCCTTAGAGAAGTGATTAAAGCTCTTTGCCTCACCCCACATTGAAATATTCTGTCATTAGCTTCTGGCTACATGACAGCCTTTCCTCCCACTCTCTCCTGAACTGGTATCTTCTCACTGTGAGAACTGAGCTATCACAGGCAGAGAGAAAACTAGTTGGTATGCTGGTTCTCTTCCTGGGCTCTCAGTCCTCTCCTTCCTCAGTTTCCCCACAGAGGTTTACTAATCCTTGGATGTTGCACCAGTTTCCTTATTCCTTGTGTTATAACACACTCTTGTGTATGGGTCTATCTCCCCAGCTTGAGGGCAGAGACTATATGCCTAGGAGTCTATAGCATGATGCTTGGCATGTAGTAGTTGCCCAGCAAATGTCTTTTGCCTGGTAACAGCTGCACAAAGACTTTTAAGCTCTTTTTGATGGTGCCCTGACTTTCCCTTTGCTCCTCAGTCTCAGGAGAGTGGAACTCGTACTCAAAAAGTCCTTGCAAAATGTGATGCGAAGTCATGTCTTGTTTCCATCTCAATGGCCCTTTTCTTTTTTTTTTCTTCTATTTCTTTCTGTTATGTGTGTGTGCGTGTAACAGGCCAATTAGTAGTATCTTCAGACTTCTGGAATCTCGATTGGTCATCTGCCTGTTCATGTCCACTGCTCATCTTCATCAACTCCAAAAGCGGCGATCATCAAGGGGTCGTCTTCCTCCGAAAATTCAAGCAGTACCTTAACCCGTCTCAAGTGTTTGACCTATCAAAGGGCGGACCCAAAGCAGGGTAAGCATGGGGTAAGGGTTATAGTTGGGTATGTAGACGGGACCCCTCCATCTATACATTCTAGACTAGGATAGGCTTCCTGGAATCAGTTCATGTGCCTAGGCAGGAAAGAGCTATTTTCTTAAGTCAGGACACAAATACATAACTCCAAAGCATTTTAGGGTGGCTGGTTGGAGGACTTGTAGCCCTCTCCCAGAAATCCCTGTCCTGCTCTCAGATTTGCTTCACCTTTTCTGCTTAGAAGAAGTAAAACTATGCCTCCTGACCTCAGAGGAAGAGGCAAGGGGATATTGCTTTCTACCTTTCCTGCCATCACTCTTTTTTCCCCCCAGGGCCAAATAGATATACCTCTACTACAAGACTGTATTATTTTGGGACTGTCTGGCTGCTCAGTCCTGGTTCCTGTGAGCCACTGGCCACCATGCAAGGCATTCTTCCTGGGCCTCAGCAAATTGGTTTGGCCAGGTTGCTAGTGGCTTCCAGAGCAAGGTTGGGCACAGAGGAGTGTGAGTTGAGGCAATTCCTGATCTCTGGGATTGCATCTGGGAAATTGCCGGTGGTGTTAGGTACGCAGAAAGATAGGAGCTAAGAGAAAGAAGGCAGAAAGCTTGTTTTTGTTTTTTTTGGGGTTTTTTTTGTCGTGTCCGGCAATGGATCGCAACCCTCAGTGTCGCGCCTGTACCGGACCGGGACCGGCAACAGGATCGCAACCCTCGGTGCTGCTCCCACACCTCGCTCAGCCAGTGAGCGGGAACCGGTCTGTATGTGGGATCCGAACCCTCGGCGGGAGCACCACCACACTCCCAAGCGGTGCACTGTAGCAGTGCGCCACTGGGCCAGCCCATGAAAGCTTGTTAGCAGAGTGTCAAAGCAGCAGTCCTTAGGTCCTGACACATTGTAAGAAAGAGATGTAAAACCCAGCTGTTGCTCTGTGTTGCTTCGCCCCCCATGGATTTGTCACCCCTCTTCCCCTGGGTGATGGAGACACAAAGGATTACTCAAAGCCCATCTCTTCTGAGCAGTAAGAAGCCCCAAAGTGTTAATTTCCCTGGGACCCTTCAGCAGGAGACAACCCTTCCTCAGGAAATTAACACCAAATTGGGGTTCTCTTCCTGCATTGATTTTCCAGACCAGGAAGTTACAGGAAGAAAACAGAGATGGTTCTAGTTTAACAATATAGGCTGGTAACTCTCAGTGAAACAAGTCAGATAACATTCCAGTAAGGCAATTAAGTGATCTTAGAGCAATTTCTCAGTATCTTTACATAACAATCAGTAACTAGTCTGTCCTTGAGCCAGCAACCTTGCTGTGCCACAAATCTTTATCTTACACCAGAGACTTATAGCCTGAGGAAAATTTCCAGTCCTCCGCAAGGTCAATATTTGAAACTGCAAGACTTTGGAAAACCAGGCCCTGTGAAGTACATTTGCTTTATAGTATATTCCATACCCAGCTTTTTGTGAAATGATTCCCTTTCCCCTTCTTCTTTCCAGACTGTGCATGTTCAAGAACTTTGCTCGCTTTCGTGTTCTGGTTTGTGGTGGAGATGGCAGTGTGAGCTGGGTCTTATCACTGATTGATGCCTTTGGATTAAATGAAAGAGTAAGTCCCTGGCTGACTCAGATTAGCCACGGCTAGAGAGAGTAGGGTTGTGGAGCTGCCCATCTTCAGAAATCCCAAGTCTGCACTCTCCCTGTCTGTAAAATACATTTCTCACAAGTTTCATAGTCAATCTGACTGGCAGATTCCCAATCTAATCCTGCCCACCAAGACCATTTTCTGGTTTTCTATATATGCAAAGGAGAAATGAAGGAGTTGGCAGAAAGAATGAGCAGTGCTTTATGCCCCAGGCTTCAAAGTGAAGAGTTGAAGGGGAGGAGAGCAAGCAAATAGAAGTGGCCTCAGGCAGCATTCAGCCCTCAATTTTCTTCCCTTTCTGAGACCACTGAATTTCTTCCCCAAGTCTCAAGAGTGGCAGAAACTCCTCTACCTCTTTACCCTCTCCCTAGGCAGCTCCCTCCTCTTCTGACCCTAGTAGATTTTTCTCCTGAGGCACCCTGTCTGGTTGGCCCAGCCCAGATAGAATTCTGTGGTGATATTTCCCTTATGTAAGTATACCTATGAATATTGACATATTCCAGCAACTTCCCCCTTTACTGGGTAGGTTCTATATTCCTAAAAGCGGGGTCCAACTCCTTAGGAAAAATTTCACCTAACTTCAAACATTCCCCATTATACTTCCTGGAACATGCAGTTTTTAAGTCCCTCATTCTTCCCAAAGAGCACCCTCTGGGTTCTTTCATGGGTGAAGCTTGGTGGAAGGACTGTCTGAAAAGTGTGCCTCCTTTTGTTCTTACAGTGTCAGTTGGCAGTCATCCCACTTGGAACCGGCAATGATCTGGCCCGTGTCCTGGGCTGGGGGGCATTCTGGAACAAAAACAAGTCACCTCTGGACATCCTCAACAGAGTGAAGCAGGCTAGTGTGAGGATTCTAGACAGGTGAGTGGCTGAAAGACCAGGTCCTTGTGCCTCTTTCAGTCCCACACCAGTTACTCCTAGTTATAACGCCTCAATCAGGAATACTCTAACTTCTCACAAAGCCTCATTTCCTTCCTGGCTTCAATGCAGGGAAATTCTGGGGATCTTGTTTCTTAGGAAGCCAGGCTCTACCATATATCCTTCAAACATCACTGAAGCCCCTCTTCAAATCTTAAAGATCCTAGAGCAGAGGCCACAAGAGTTCTGTGAACCTCCTTCAAATTGCATAATAGCTTCTGGCCAAGATGGCGGAATAGACAGTCCCCAGTGTCACTTTCTCCCACAAATCAACCAATTCACAACTATTTAAAAGCAATGACAGCCAAGCTGGGGCCACTAGAGATCAGGGGAAGAGGAGGAGAGACCTACGGAGTGCATGAAGTCAGGAGAAGCCATGATGAGAGAAAGAAAGGATCGCTTCTACCATTTCAAATCCCAGCTGCTTCAAGGATTCTTCAGGGACCACTTCAAGCTGGTGAGCATATGGAGCAAGAGCTGGCAAAAGCTGCAGCTGTGCCCTTCCTATGAAGTTGCTTGGAGGCGGCAGGGGAGAAGAGGGCCTTGGTGGCCCTCAGGCCAGCAAGACCACTAACAGGGTTCCCATGGACCCACACAGGAGAAAGGAGCCACAGACAACTGAAAAAAGGAGCCATTCAGAGGCTGGTGAGTCGTCGCAACGGACTAGCACATGGCCCATCCCATGGGAAGCATTTGGAGTGTGGGCAGTGGGGGAGACAGGCCACCAGGGAACACTGGGGCACAACAAGGACAGCTGATCTACCTTCCAATCAGCACAGGCCCACTTCATGTAGACTGGGCAAGAATATAGAACTGCAGGGGGAGCAGTTTGCTGAACAGACTCAGGTCCAGACCAGAGTTTCTACACGACCCAGGAGTACTGGACCTCATGAGACCGGAAGTACCTACAAAGTCAAGATTAAAACCTGAGCTGCACAAAAAGCCTTCCCCAGGGAATCAGCAGCAAAGCAGCAATTTAGCTTAGCTACAGGGTTCAAGTGCTGGTCCCCACAGGAAGTTCCTCCATTTTAGAAGTAAGCAAAGGACAACAAATGAGTTCCAGTACAGAGTTTAAGTAGTGGAAACAGCAAATAATTCAACACAGAACTGAAAGAAAAAAATGAATACCCACAGACCAGAGACAAAGTTTGATATTAACTAGTAAAAGTTTCACTTCATCAAAGAACACCTATAAAACCTAGGACTGGAAGCCCCCTAGGCCCCCAAGCCAGGGAGCGGGGAGGGCCGGCAGCCTCAGCCATGCCCTGCAACACCCACAACCAGCCCAGCAATGACCAACAAGCCACCACAGGAAGTGCCCCAGGCCCCTGAACCAGGAGGGGGGGGGGGGGGCTGAGGGCCTCAGCCATGCCCCCCTGACACCCACACACAGCCCAGTGATGACCACTGAGCTGCTGTGGTAAGCACACCAGGCTCCTGAGCCAAGGTGGTGGGCGGCCAAGGGCTTCAGCCACACTCCACTGACATCTGCATTCATCCAAGCAACAACCAAGCTACCACTGGAAGCCCCTTGGTCTCCCCTGCAGGAATGATGGGGTGGTGCCATGGGCCTTAACAACATCCCCCTCCTTCCTCCTTCTCCCACCTGCAACAATGTCTTATAATGTAAAAACAGATAGAGCTGGGGACTGACCCTTCCTCCCACATCCAGGCACACCACCACTGCCATGGGGCCCATCCAGGGTCCTGAGGTTGGAGCTGGGGAGTGACCCCTCTTCCCACAACCAGGCAAGGAGCACACCACTTGCATATCGGTGGCCCACCACAGCCACCACAATAGCTGCGGCTACCGCAAGAGCGGCTAGATACCACAACCACTGTGCAGATGGCCCACCAACCACCTGAGTGCATTGGCACAAGAAGAGTCACCAGAGAAGACCAAAGTAAAGGGGAGGATATCTCTCTCCACAAAGCCCATTCCAGAGTGACAGAAGAAGCATCTACACTATGATAATAGTGGGGGACCTGAACACACCTCTCATCCCTGAACAGATCACCTAGGTAACAAATCAATAGAGTAACCATTACTCTTTCAGAAGAAGAGAAGAAATCCAGGGTTATCAGAGGTGAGGGGGGGACAGAAAGGGGGATGGGGAGAGATTGGCTAAGGAGTATAAAGAATAAGTACAATCTGTAGTAATGCATATGCTAATAATATTGATCTGATCAACCTATATCAACATTGAAGCCCCCAAAATTTGTATAATCAATTATGATCCAATAAAAAAAATAAAAAAATAAACAAAGCTGGGTGTTATTATCATTACTAATAATTGATATTAAAATTGGAGATAGAACAGCAGATTTGTGGAAAATGAAAGTGATGGTATGATTTCGACAACTTGAGGAGACGAGGGGTATGGGGAGAGACTGGACAAGGGGCATAAAGAATAATTATGATTTGTAACAATATATATGCTAGTAATATTGATTTGATCAACATACGTCAACATTGAACCCCCAAAATATGAATAATCAATTATTATTCAGTCATAAAAAGAAGAAAAAAATTGCACAGCCAATTATCTATGTAAGCATATTTTTTTCTTGGGAAAGAGTCTATAGTTTCATCAGGTTCTCAAGGAAATTAAGAAAAGGCGAGGGGTCGGAACCAACTGGCTTAGATTGTCTCTACTCTAGAGAAGAGAGAGAATTGTCATCATATGTCTTGAGGGGGAAAAAAAAGACTTTATATGCTGGGACATATGAGCATTTGATTTATGGCTGCTCATGAGGATCTCCTGCAGAGGTTTTTCAAGATACCAATCTGGGACCAAACACAAATATTCTTATTCAGTAGGTCTTAGGCAGGGCCCTGGTATGTGTATTTTACAAAAGTACCACAGGTAATCTTGATGGTTACCTATGGTTGAGAAGCAGAGTACTCTGAGGGAATTCCTTCCATCACACTGGCCTATAGAAGTCATGAAGCAGAGGCCCCTCTTGTGGTATACCTTGAGATAAGATGACCAGAGATTGCTTGGGAACCCCCTACAACCCACCTTCCCCCACCACACAAACATTTGACCTCTTTCTTGACCTGTGAAGCAGTGATTCCAATCTGTGATGAAAGAGACCCCTAAATAACTGTCTTTGAATTTCATTTCAGATGGAGTGTGATGATCCGTGAGACTCCTAGACAAACTCCACTGCTAAAAGGACAGGTTGAAATGGATATACAACAATTTGAGGTAACTATTGCCCAGCTATAGTTCAGGCCAACATCTTTATTACACAGTAAAATAATAGACAAAGCTTAGAGAGATGTTTTTGTATTGTACAAGGGCTCAATGAGAATGAGATCATTGAGGACTTGGAACATGTTAGTCAGCAGCTATTTACCAAGAACTGTGTTAGGCATTGGGGATATAATTAATTCAGCCATTTACCTATTGACTCATTCAAAATATTTATGGAGTAACTATTATATGTGAGATACTGTTCTAGGATCTGTTCTTATATGCTTGTGGGTAAAGAAGAATAACATAGTCCCTGCTGTCATGGAGTTCATAGTCTACGTGGAGAGATAGAAATATAAATTGTTTTAATCAAGTAGTATGAGTATTAATATATAAGGAAGTAGAGGGAGTTGGGAACACACAGCAGGGTTATCTGCCTCAGTCTGGTAGGAATCAGGGAAAGCTTCTCAAAAGAAGTGCCATTTCAGAAGAGACCTGAGGCCCAGAGGGAGTTAACCAGGAGAATAAGAAACAGGAGGCCTGTTCTACACAGATAGAACAGACTGTATTGTCCCAAAGGCAAGAGAGAGCATGGAGTATTCACAGAACTAAAATACATTCATAACGGCTGGGGCACAGGGGCCAGGTAGGGGGCCTGCAGGAAGAGCGACTAAAGATGTGACTGGAGAAGTAATAAGGATCCAGACCAGGAAGGGCCAAACCATGGGAGGAAGTTTGGACTTTTATCCTAAGAGCAATGAGAATTAAAGAAGCTTTTTTATTTCTTATTTTATTATGAAAATTTCCAAACATACAGGCAAGTTGAAATGGTAGGTTCTACCATTAACATTTCACTATACTTGCTTTATCACATATCCAGTCATCTATCCATTCTGCTATATAATAGAAGGATTTTAAGCAGAGGAGTTCCATGATCTGTCGAGAAAAATGGAAGGAATAAAGACTAAAGGCAAGGAGAAAAGCTACAAGATGCTCTAGTTGTCTAGGCAAGAGATGATGGTGATTTGGACTGGTGAAGTGATAACAGGAATGAGAAATGGACATATTTGAGGCCTACTGAAGAAACAGAATCATCAGGACTTGGTAGATGTTTGAATTAGAGGGTGGTAGGGAGGAGTAGAAGTTGTAATTTAGAGTACAGACTCAAGAGCCAGACTACCTGGAATCAAATCCTGACTCTGCCATTTATTAACTTCTCCTTCTCTGTGCCTCAGTTTTCTCTTCTGTGAAATGGGGATAATAAAATTTTTTATCTCATAGGGTTGTTATGAGGAGTAGATGAAAAAATTACATACATACCTTACAAAAAAGCCTGGCACATAGTCAGTACTATATAAGAGGATGCTGTTATTATTAGTAATATTATTATTTAAGAAGTGACAGTCTGGCATTGGAAAGATGTGGATTCAAATCCCAGCTCTATTATTTAGTGTAAGATTGTTCATTTGAAACATGGAACAAACAGTACCTCCTTCATATGAGTTTTTGATTATTAATAAGAGAAAATAAAATATATCTGTCATTTTTTTTAATGACCACAGATCTAAGATTATCTCTGGGAATCTTCAATAAGAATTTTTTGATTATGATTATTTCCAGAGAGGCAGCTGAATTGTTCATAGTCAGCAGCAAATAATGAGTCTGTGGGGGCTGAGGATTGGCAGCATACTATGCTACAGTGCTAATATTCCAGAGCTGAGCACTCCTTTTCCCTCTAGGCTGCTGCCATCCACCACTTAGAATCTGCAGCCACTGAGTTGAGCAAAATCCTGAAGGCCAAGTACCCCACGGAGATGATCATCGCAACGAGGTCAGTCTTCCTTTAGCTCTAATCATTTGGGGTGTTTTGGCCCCCCACAAGTTGTTCCCAGGTCAGATATGGGAGTCATTTTGATAGCACGGGGTATTGAGGCCAAGGAAAGTATGTTTATCTTCCCAAAGTTTAGGGAAAAAAGATGAGATTGAGGTGAGGGCTCCTGCTGCTCCGAAAAGACAAAATTGCAAGCCAGAGATTCGGAAGGAGGCCTACAGAAGGCAAACATAACATTCCAGACCACTCAAGGGAGCATAGCTCCCTACAGTATGGACACCTTGCTTTCCATCTTTGACACTAGGAAAAGTCTCTACAGTACCTACCTATAGCTGCTCTCTCAAAACCTGAGCAAAACATTCCCCACTTCTAAATATGTGGGTCATTTGTTCCTCCTGGATCTCCTTAGGAGGTTTCTGCCCGGTCTACCACACTCTCCTCTGAGAAACACACCCCACAAGGCGAGTCCTCCCAATGTCATTATGTCTATACTAAATCAGCTGGGCCCATGAACCATAGCTGATTGACCCAGGATGAAAACCTGACCCGAGTTGAACCAAGTAAAGTCTCTTTTCTGGAAATTGAGAATTAGGACTAAGAAATTCTAGTCAAACTCTCATAGGTACTAGACTTGTGAAGCAGTGTGAAACTGGACTGAAGGGGGATGGAGCATGTTTCACCATATGTACAGAGAAAAACAAAGAAAGGAGAAGGGGTGGGGTTGGGAATGAGGAAGGAAAGATCAAGAAAGAGACAGAGGAGAAGGAAGATGGACAGTGATGAAGTTATAAGAGAGAAGGGCTCTGGATCTCATGGTCCATATCATATCATGCCATCTATCTTATCTTTCCAGATTCTTGTGCTCAGCAGTGGAAGATTTTGTGGTTGATATTGTAAAGGCCTGGAGTCGGATAAAACAAAACAATACAGCAATAGAGTCTGTGATTTTGAAAGTAAGTTTTCATTCCTTTTGTCTTATACTCTTTGTGGAGCCAGGAGCCCCTTTTTAATAAAAGCAAATGTGCCTCTCACTGGAAATTATGAAAGAAGGCAAGGAAGGGCAGTTGGTGAGCCTCCCTGATGGGGAAGGTCCAACCTCATCAAACTTCTGTCTTTTGCCAAATGAAGAATGGCACTGTGCGTGCATACACACGTAACATATACCTAAGCATATGCCAAGCATCTACCAAGAACTAGACACAAGTGTACACCAAGTACGTATGCACATGGTTGTATACCAGAACATGCTATAAAATATGTACATACAAATACACACTAGAAATACACTCACATTCACCTCTATAACAATAGCTAACACTTCTATAGCACTTACTCTGTGTCAGGGGCTGTTCTATTGCTTTTATTGTATTAATTTATTTAATCCTCACAACTGTCCTAGAATACAGAGGCACAAAAAGGTTAACTTGCCTCAGGTCACCAACTATTAAGTGATGGAGCTGGGAATCAAAGCCATAAATCATGCAGATGTATGTCTGCAGACATACACACATACAAAAGCAGACACCAAGCACCCAAGCAAAGGCATATCCACATCCACAGGAGCATACCCATGAAAACACCAATCTAGAAATGATTACCTTTTCTCAAGTTTGCCATGTTACACATCATATTATAGGCCAGTCTGACATGAGAAAGATTTGGTAGCATACATTGATGCCTGGGGCTGCTCAGAAACAAATGACACATGTTTGATCCCCTAACACCCTTTGGTATCTCATCACATCCACCCACACATTTCTTTCCCTATGTACTTCATCTCCCCACCTGTGGCCGTTTATGCTCAGTGCTCCTGGCCAACTATTACTCCTCCCCACCTCTCTCCGTGCCAACCCCCACTCTCCATTCTGTTCTTTTAAGCACCGGTCCCTCATAACAATGTGCCATCTCCTTCCTCCCTATATAGAGTGACTTAATGTATGATAAGCTCAGTGTCCTCATTGATGCCCTGGCTGAGGAGGCAGAAGCTACCTCTGTTGAGAAAGGTGCTGCAGTATGTACAGACAGTGGTACATGGAAAGTGGCAGATGAAAAGCCCTTCGTCCCTCAAATAGACCACATAGCCAAATGCAAGTTGGAGCTGGCCACAAAGGCTCAGAATCTCCAGAAATCCTTAAAACTCATCATATTTCAAGTTGAACAAGGTAAGGTGCCCAGGATTGTGGTGGTGACTGAGGTAGGGGAAAGTGAAGGTTCCAGTGGTGGCTTACTGGTCTCCCTCACTCTGGGTTTGCTATTTTACTCCACTTTCCAAAACTTGACTAGATTCTGCATTCATATTGACCCAAAGTCTGTCCTCAGACTGCTGATTTGAAAAGCTTCAGTCCTGATAAGCTGCCCCTTTGGCTCCTCCTCCCTCCCAGGCACTCAACTTTTCTTACTCACTTATTTTTGGAACTCTCATTCTAAAATATGACAAATGTTAAGTGGCCTGGCCCAAAGCTCTGTCATCTTCCACCACCCGCTATGGAATTTTTCCCACTTGCTCCTGTTTCTTTCCAATCACCAAGCCTGTGACTAATTTACAAAGAAAATGGTGTTCATCTCTGCATGTCTCACACAGTATTAATCAAGCATGAGGGCCTTGAAAGTGGTCCCAGCAACTCTGATATTGTCGTTGCCCAGAACTCATAGCAATGTGCACACTTCCAAATCAGTATGAAAACTCTTTCAATTCCTCCAGCTTCTGCATTTAACATTTTGGTGACCACTTCTTTCCCACAATGCTTCTTTGAAAAACAGTTCAGAAGATGGTATAAGACCAAGTGTGTTCTAACTGAGCTGTTGGAATTGATCAGAAGTCACATGCAGGGGCCGGCCTGGTGGCGCACTGCTACAGTGCGCCGCTTGGGACCGCGGCGGCGCTCCCACTGAGGGTTCAGATCCCACATACAGACCGGTTCCCGCTCACTGGCTGAGCGAGGTACGGGCGCAGCACCGAGGGTTGCGATCCCGTTGCCGGTCCCGGTCCGGTGCGGGCGCGACGCTGAGGGTTGCGATCCGTTGCCGGACACGAAAAAAGACAAAATGGAAAAAAAAAAAAAAAAAAAA